ATTTGTCAGGGAGATGATACTTGTAGAGGAAAAGTGCTTTTTGGTCTTCTGCAGAAACCTTGTTTTGATTTGGCAAAGGTACAGACCTCCACAAACTCCCACTTTATGTGCTGTATAGTAGTTTTTTACATCAGAGCACTGTCTTTTTCTTCAAGCATGAAATACACTGTAAGAGGCAGACGTTGCTGATCCTTGTATAGGTGAACAGTTTCTGTTGAGAGAGGAGGAGAAGCAGATATCCCATATCTTATTTTTGCACAGCTTCTATAATGGACAGGGAGATACTTCATAATCCTTTGTGGAATGTTACAAAAAGTCAGCCCACTCTGATTTGCGCTAAGTTTCTGGCTACCTTCCTTCTGGTCTTGTGGGAGAAATGCTCCCTCTAACAACAGTTTTCACTTTCTTTATTGTATCACCAGCTTCCTCCCGGATCCTAATGTGAGGGGTCTGCATATGGGACCTTTTCCATGTTGGTCTGAGTGACGAAGCAGCTGGTCCAGAAGACAGCTCCTGAAAAACAGTGTGAATATTTGGCAGAGATTAAATGGAAAGTTACAAAGCCAGAAACCCTATTTTTAGGAAACGTAAATTAACATTTAGTGCAGTGAACCTAAAGCAGTAGCACGTTACCCTCTTATAGTTTCTAATGCTAGATAAATCCTAAAGGAAGCTGTGTAATAGGCAAAGTCCCCCAAAGTATAATTATGTATAGGCCTGTAGCTATTTTTGCCTTGTTCCATCATTATCAATTTTCTTTGTCATTTAATTTCTTTATTTATATGCAGCTTGGCAAATGAAAGGTTTGAGTGCTGTGCTTATAACTCACTTGTAATGAGTGCAGAGTTTTTTTCTCTAATCTTTCAGGTGTCTGACACACATGAACTAATTAGTATGCAATTTCATTTTCCTGCATTCTCCCAATGAACTGAAAATTGAAATTGCCGTTTTAAATTTACACTCTCAGCATGTAATTAGTAATGGCACTACAATGCTTGTAATTGGCTTGTGATTTAAAGTGTCAATGACCATGTTTTTGAAAGCAAATTAAAGTCAGAGTAAGTCATATCTCCCTTTTAAAGTTCTGATGACCTCTGTTTCTCCTCATAGGTTGGCTGTGATAAAATAACAACTCTGTACACTGTTTAACACTTTATTAGTGACACTAACTTTTAATGTTTCCAAATACAATGAGAAAAAGTCCTACACTTCTATTTTTCATTAATTGTTCCTGAGATATAACCAAAATGGTCACTGTGCCTGTTCCGATAACGTCTTTTTTGTCAAAACTCTTTTTTTTAAGGGAGCACTGGTTTCTCTTTTCCCTTTTGTCCTTTTATATTCATGGCTGCAAAATATGCTGTTTCTTTTTATTCTGATTCCACTTCATCTCTACTCCTTTCTTGCACATATCTTTATTGTTCTATTCATACCTATATTTTCTCAAGGCAGTATGGATCAGAATATAGATGGCCATGGGCAGGATTGTTGTTTCTATTCTCTCTCTACCGTATCCGAAGTCCTAATAACTGCTAATCTCTAACACAAACCTGACAGAACCTTCTAAATGTTACTCCTCTCTAGTGATTTCTAACCTAGAGATCCATGCCTATACCTTACATTTCTTCTTCTCTCCCAGTTGCACCACCCAAACCTAGTATCTCTCAACTCATTTTTTCCCTATTCATGACTGATTTCCCTTTCCTTCCATAAAATATTATCCTTTTTTATATCACTGCAGTTATTATTGCTGTAATACACAAAGACTTCAGCCATGGTGGATATGCCAAAAATGCATAAACTGGAATGTCATGACGAACACTGTGAGACAAGATAGAATAATTTGGTATAACTAGCAATATAAGGACAGGCCTACAGTACCGAAATCCTAAGTCATGCAGTTAAGGTGTATAAGTAACTTTGGAAGAAGGATGCATGTTAAGGAACCATACTCAGGGATGAGAGAGCAAGGTGGGTGAATATTGTCCTGTAAGATAATAGACCTGCTTCTTTCGACTTTTAGAGTAGGTATGGTCTTTTTGTTCAGCAAATAATAGCAGTGCAATGGGTTCTCTGTCCATAGATGAACCTTCCTAAATTTTAATTTGCCCAACAGTAAGTCTTACACCACCTATGTCAGGCAGCCTGGAGTGGAGAAGGAGCTCACAGCAGAGATTCAGTGGCTCCTGCCACTGCATCGCAGGGCAGGCTGGGCTGGGTTGGGTCGTCAACGTACCAGGGAGTCCTAAGAATATCAACCTCAGAAATACATGACAGTCTTAGAACAAAGTAAGAAGGCGGGTAAAGCTATAGAAGAGGTTGTCCTGGTTTCGGCAGGGGTAGAGTTAATTTCCTTCCTAGGAATTCCTTGTTTTGCTTTGCTTGCGTGCGCGGCTTTTGCTTTACCTATTAAACTGTCTTTATCTCAACCCACGAGTTTTCTCACTTTCACCCTTCCAATTCTCTCCCCCATCCCACTGCGGGGGGAGTGAGTGAGCGGCTGCATGGTGCTCAGTTGCCAACTGAGGTTAAA